CTCTCATTCTACCATGTTCAAATGATTTTTTTAAAAACACTGAATAGACTAAAGAAGCCCTATCTTATCTGTTCAGCAGGCGTTTCACATATCAGCATTTAAAAATAAATGAAATCATAAAATTTTCCAAGAATGTTTTGTTTTTTTATTATCCTTAAAGTTCGGCTTTTATTACGGTCAGTATTTTCTACCGCCACAAATTACTTAATGTTATTTATTTTAAAACGTGTGTAATTAACATCAAAGTAATTGTATCGCACTTATATTGGCCACAAAACAATAATTCTACAAAAAAAAAAACAAAAGCAACGATAAAAAGGTCGACTTGATTTAATAAAAAAAACCTTTAAAATACGATACCATGACCCATGTCAAATTAATTTTCACTAGCGAACATGCTTTAACATAACACACATACCTACATACAAACATAATATACAAAACGAATTTCCAGTAGGTAGATTAAAAAGTGTTTTAATGGCATAATCATATACAAGATTGATTATTCGGCTACAGATGCACACGTAATAATCATTAAGATCTCCTATCCGTATTGAATAATAATGAAGAACTTGTTTTGGTTAGCCAGTCGACGGATAATGTCGGATAACGGCTCCAAACCAGCTAGCCGAAGTAGCCTTTAGGCATTAAAATGGTCTCAAATCTTTTGAAATGTCGCTGGCTATCTTATTGACTGACTGACGATTTCTAGCCTACATAATAATATTATGTCTTTGTAACCATACAAAGAGTTTAGGAGGATTAGTATAAATTACTACTTAAGTCTGTAGTAGTTTATGTCAATCCGCTAGTAACCTACTGCCTAATATATCTTTCGAAACCAATTAGCTAAATTTGCTGGTCCACTAGCGGCCTGAATAACTAACGTTTGATAGACCAGCAGAATTTCTCACCGAGTCCTTTAGTTGAAGAGTTTTGGGGTTGTCATTAGAATTAGTTTGATTGTTATGTAACCGCGACCCCCACGGAAATCTAAAAAAATTACAGTTACCATAATCAATTATTTGCTATAAGCATTTATTAAAAAGGCTATATTTTAGTTGATTGGTTTTTTACTAAGCTTGTTGTTGCTGACATACATAATATACTATTGTATTATATATACATAGTAAAGGAAAGAATAGTTAGTTTGTTGGTTCGATTTAGATCCTCACACTAGTTCAACTAAAACTTCTGTCATCATTGGAAATCTTAGGCCTCGTACCCACACATGGCGCGTTGCACGGAGCGTCGTGCGGACTGTTACACATTGTTCTTGTGTTTGTGTTATCGCGATACGACGCGCGAGGCCGCACGTATGTGTAAACTAGGTCTTATGGCCTTTAATGAGTGACATAACCAACTTTCCATCCCGATATTCCCAAAGGTTCAGACACCACTCGAGAGAAATCTTTTAAATTACTTGTGGGTAAGCGGCAGTAGGAAAGCACCAAATATTATGGAAGCGAAAATCAAATCTTTGATCAACTGTGGTTAGAATAAAGCAATAATGCACAGCGCGACGGCTGTGGAATAGAGCAATAATGGGGCCCAGACCCAGGGACCGGGAGGAGCTGGGTAGTTTTAAGTGAATAAGTCTCACATTCCATTAGATAAGGAGGGTGAAGTTATCGGATGATTTTCCAACATTACAAAAAATTATTCACATTAGACGAGGCATCTATTTATCGATGAAAACTTTCATGTGAAGACAACCAGGATAGTTCAATGCTTGCATAAACTTAGAAGCTTGCCAGTATCAACTCGCTTGGTACCTAGTAGACTGTAAGCGAAGAGGTTCTAGGCTATACGTACATGGCCATCAAATATCGTCATCCTTTTACTATTTCCACAGGACTAAATATTCCATAAAAAATCCGTACTAGCGGTGTGGTCACCCTAACCTCAAGGCTGCCATGATAAAGGTTCATTTATGTACGTCACACGAGGCTAGGAACAAAACATTTAATTTTAAAGATGACGTGCATAGACACATGATACTACTTAGGTTTTAGTATCTTGTTTCAGGTTTCATATTGTAACCTACGTATTTCCATTATCTATCAAACAATGCGAATCCCATAGCTTTTATCCCACAAAGACATGGGATCATGTTTATGGTGTAAACTAATGGAAATACTAATGGATATCAATTTACCCTTTCTTTAAAGAAAACTATTATTTTATTTTATAAAAATCTTTTCCAACATTGTAAAGGTACGTCAATATTAATTAAACCAGTGCAGCTCTATTCATTACTGATAAAAATATCGATGCTACATTAATTCCAGATTAATCACCCGAAGGTTTTACTGTATTGTAGCTCTTTGGTCGGCTGACCGCAAGCCGACTGCCGAGCAAGAAGAGACTCCTTCGATCGTGTTAATCCTTCATGTTTGATTCCCGCTTCGAATGAAACACTTTTCGGGATTTTCGGGCACTTGAAAATTTGCGACGTGTTTAGTTTAGTTTCTTCCATAGTAAAGGGATCTCATGTTATTTATGTTGTTATATTTTTAAAAGAAAAGAAATTTATTTTGGCCTGTACATACACGATTTCATTAAAAAAGGTTATACACAAGCGGACATTTTTGGTCATGCTCCCGTAACGTGTCCTTCGTAGCACGTACTACGCCAATTGCTACGCGGTCGCTACGACGTGCTACATTCGGTACAGAAAATAGGTCAAATGCACACCAGTTTTTTTCTCGTTATGTAGTAAAATTACAGTTTCAATATACACACATACAGATTGTATAAACAAGTTGAAAATTGTGGGCAATAATGACAATCAATAAGTAGGAGGTTGTCGGCCAATATGTTCAGAAATAAACGACCCAAAATATTTGGTTGGCGTCAATTTATGTATAATAGCTGTTATATTTGTACCGTAATTTGACCTATTAATATTTTATTTAAATAAATTACTGAATACCTACAAACTGGTTGGGGAAATTCAAACATTTTCTTTATGTGGCTTCCTGGTGAGACTGTAGTTTGGCGCAATTGCTGTTTTAATAAAAACTAAAGAATTGGCTGGGCTTCAGTGCAATGTCCATAATTTGGCGATAATTAAAAAAATAAGTCATAAAGCCTTTGTCTTAACATAGAGGAACATAGGTAACAAAACTATAATTGATTCGAATTGCATGACAAGATTGTGCGTCTCGTCGTATTGTGTATCAGTAACATCCATCCATTCTTACTTACAAATTTCGCATACAAAATATGCATTTGAAGAATGAGAGAGGGCCTTCATCGTTTATGAGTCATATATTCAGTACTTCGTTACACTGTAAACTGTAAACTATGGAATGATCTTTCGCCATCGCTTGTTCTAACTGATACTACCTACAAATGTGCAAGAAACGCGCGTTCTCATTCCTTCGGCAACGTGCCTGTGACGCCTCTGCAAGCTCTGGTGTTGCAGTTGTCCCTGAGCAACGCTGGTCACTTACCATCAGGTTTTTGGCCAGAACATCTTCCTCCTAATACATAAAAAACTGTGCACATTCCAAGCTGGACTGTCAAATTTCTTTGCGCATTACTTCAGGTAGTCAGTTCCTACCAATATACTAGTAAAATCGATTTAGAGACAATAGAATAGGCAGATTTCCATAGATACGTCGTATTTCACGAGGAATAAAAAAATAAGTAAGTTGGAGAGCCAAGGTTCGACACGAATGGGTCGGTTCGACTGGAGTGATACCACGGCCTCACGGAAACCAAGCACAGCGTGGTGTTTCGCCGTGTGAGTAGGGTTAACGGAGTCCCAATCCCTTCCCAATAAAATACCTTAAGGGTTTCGGATATTTAAGGATTGTACCCTTATCTCCAAAACGTTGACAACGAACACGTAACTCGTTTAGTGTTGCGGGTGTCCATTGGCGGCGCCGATTGCTTAACAGCAAGTTATCCATAAGCTTGTTTTCCGACCATACATACCATAAAAAAATTAAGTAAAAAAGAACTGAAAAAATTTCAGGTTCAAAGAAGCCAAACTAACCGTTAACAGCAAGAATGACAGTCGACATGATAATTCGTATATCTACTGAAATCGTAAATTATCACACACTTGCCAATCTGCAAAGAAAGTTCTACGCAAAATAGAGACACATCGCATCGTCCGACCATAAAAATAAATATAAAATATGTTTATCCAATTCATTCCCTCCATTCCAAAAAATAAAATTCGTTTGTAGGATTGTGTGGGATTAAATGCAACCTTTTTTTCTAGTGATCAAATCTTGTTTCAATCGACGAAATGGCGACTCTTTTATGGTTGTTAATTAATACGGCTGTATCATAAAGGATTATATACTTATCGTGCACTCGATCGAATGCAATGCAATCGGACTAACGAGCACCACTCATTTTCAGAATGGAACTGAAACCTACACTAAGAGTATCTGCAAATTGCATTCATGTGTTACACGATGGACAGGAATCATTGCTGATTTTATCATTTTTGTGTACGAAGTACGTAATACGTTCCAACAAGCGTCGGGGCTACTTTTAATTTATAAGTTAATCTTGACACAAAAATCTCTATAATGAAGGTTCATTAATATAGTGATATGTACAGTTTACTTCAGTTTATTTATATTGACAAATGAATTATTATGTTTATGTTTTGCAATTGTATTGGTGATGGCGTAGGTATTTTTAAATATCTTCGCAGAATAATTGAGGACTGGACCTTTTTTATACCGGAGCATTTTATAAGTAGTTATTTTTACACAGAACGTAGGAACATTAATTATTTGATATTTTTGTGTAATGAATGTGACAAAAAAGGATGTTGTTTAGATATCTGTGAGGACGAGCGTAGGCCGGTAAGGAGCGCGGCCCACGCACCCCGGCGCGACGCTCGGCTCCGGGTAGCAGTGGCCGCGCGGGGTGCCAGTGAAAGTGAACGCGCGCCGCGCCCCACCGCCGGCTGATGGGGTGGACTCCGCCATATATAAAGACAAACTCAAGGTGAACTAATAGAGTAATAACAGACCCGGCGTCTTAGCCAGTGGAACAGCCGTTCCCCGCCTCATCATGAGAGGGACCTGGAGCCAAGTGGTCAGTGTTCAATCATTCAAAATATCCTCGGGAATTGTAAACTTATTAATTAGCTATCAACGCTCAATTTTAAATTAGATAAAGTGAAAATGTGCTAGTGATATTAATTAAAAGCTTTGCCGCCCTTCGTTAATAATAATAATTTAAAGTTTACAAAAATATGTGATATTTCGGGTTTGTAAATATTAAAAAAACAAATAACTTCATAATTATTCCAGTTTCCTTGCTGTGATATTAGTTTGAAAAAGTTTTTTTATAAAATTCTAATTATAACTTGTTCGCGCGACGGGTTGGTAACACTAACTTGCGAGTAACTAGACAATATTTTGTTCAAACATTTGATCCAAACTTAACATAAAAATACTAACAGTAGTAAAGATTAATATTGACATGCATAATATTTGCGTATCTATTCACTGTATAATTATACAACTACATACCTAAGTGATAATTAAAGTCAAATATTGCGCGCGTTTGATTGTTTACTCGTAAGTACTTATTAACGGTTTGTGACTAAATCTTTGGTTACAAAAGGAAGGCGGTACTTGATTGCTGTATTAACTTATTTCATGGAAGAGTCGCGGCGAAAATATATCTTGCATCTGTGAAACGTAGATAATTGTCAGCTGGCAATGTATGTAAAGTCGGAAGCAATGTCGAACAGGTGTACGTCGGCGCATCCGTCTCGATGTCACTGTTCGTGACAATGGCTCGGACTTTTTATTGATGCGAGATTTTTTAATTCTGAATGTAACTTCTCGCTATTGTTGTTTTGCTACTATCGTAAATGGCAAATCTCTCTAGAACATTGAAATAATGGCGATGAACTCGACCGGCGTTGCGTAATGTATTCTTCCGTTTTGTAGATATTAGTCAGGTCACGATCCGGTTACTTCTTTCGGTGATTATAAAAGTAAAAACGACCGACTATAAAAGGAGCTTAGATTCGTATATGTATAAGTTTACGCAACTTTTGTGCGGCACTTATACGGAAACGAAACATAAATGTTCGAGCCTAACAATATTTTCGTTTGGTCCGGTAAAAATTTTATGAATAATAAATATTTAATGTTGTACGTAACCTTAAGATTATTTTGAAGTAGGTAGTTATTATAGGGGATGGTACGTTTAACACTCACTAAACAAATACTTAGGCAACCTATAACCTTTTACGTTTTTCGTATTATATAATTATTGGATTAGTGATTTCGATTATATTATTATTATTGCTCATCCTTATTTGGAATGGTGACGGTCGTTAGCCATGCAGGGCCACGGTTGTTGTCGGGTCGTGATGTCGATTCTCGATAGTCGCTCCGATCGCTTGTGTAACCGTTGCATAATGTCGTCCAAATGTTGTATTGTATTATTATATTAGCCGCATGTGTGAACTATGCTAATGCACCAGATGTACTTTACTACGATGACTTTCGAAACATAATTTCTCCCTGTTTTACGTAAATTTATTTCGCATTGTTCTCTTTTATAGCACTCAGTGTATGTAGTTGGTTTCTAAAATCTGTAAGGGTCTAATAAGATTTTTTATTGGTAATATAATGTTTATTTCAATGATTGACACATTCAACGCCTCGGTCAATAAGTACATTGACGCCTTTATAGAAATAGGGTAATAAAAGAATAACCTTTACGGCAACACAGATTGGACTTTAAATTAGTGTTACGTGGCCTGATGAGTTGCAGTTCGGAGTGACCTAGTAGTTATAGTCCGTACATGGCATACTTTGGTATTCTCAAAACCATCGATTTCTTACATAACCATTGAACTTGATGGATCCGGGTCGTAATTATGTAAACAGGTTTAAGGCACAACGTTGTGCCCCAAATTTGTATTACACATATGTAATTTAATATTGTTCTCTATATGGGAAGTAATGAGAGGTAGGCTGTTTTTGTCAGTTTTCTCGAAACTTGATTTTCCGGTAACATTAAGTGTTCTAGAAAGCATGTGATAGCCAGTAGTTGTAGGCGACGGGCGACAAGCGACTAGTTAAACATTCGCTTCCTAGATCCGCTCGACCTGCGAATTAGACGAAGCGTGTTCCTAATGGCCCCCACCTCAACCTCACTTAGACAAGTCGACTTATGCTCACTTTCCTTTTGTGAATCACATAAACTCATGATGTAATCGTTGCTGCTTCACATTTATTTACATTTTTATTACTTAGTAGACATTGATGAATAATTAAAGAACATTTCTTTTCATGTGTGTACTCGATTGCCATATAAACTGTACAATTTAATTGGAACACTATGTTTTGGGATTAAGTTAAAGCTCTGCGACACTTTGTTTGTGGCTGGTATTTGAATTTAAAATAAAGTAGAGATTAATTCATGCTGTGCGTTGTCTAGGAAGCTTTGCGTTTATTTGTGCAAATCTAACTTTAACAAAGTATTTCTTTGTTTCAGATTACCCTAGCGGTAATTTTACAAATCGCTCTAGTTTCGGGAAAGGCATTAATACCACAAAATCAACAAGCACAGCAGCAAGTGGAACAGAAGCAGCACACGGCTCAGAAGCGTGTCGGCTATGACTACCCAGCGCCATCAGTCGATCTCGTCAACCCGTTCCAAGACCACGATGACCTTCATCCTCACGATGACCACCACGAAGTGATCGACGACCACGGTGATCACGACCACCATGAGCACCACGAGCACCACGACTTCGATGACCACGACCATCACGAGCACCATGCCATCCACGAGGAGCACCATGTCGAAGAACATCACGAGGAACACCATGACCATCATGAGCATCACCATCCCGACCCTGGTTACTGGAAAAAGAAACTTATTTGGAAACCTGGATGGAAGAAAATTTGGAAACCAGCCAAAAAACAAATCTGGAACCCTTCCTGGAAAAAGATTTGGAAGCCAGTATGGAAACCTATTAAGCGTCCAGTTTGGAAGGAAATTAAAGTTCCGGATTGGAAGAAAATCTACAAACCGGAATGGAAGCCTATTAAAGTTCCTGCGTGGAAAGAGGTTAAAGTTCCTGACTGGAAAAAAATTACCGTGCCGGTCTACAAGGACATAGTCGTACCGGGTTGGAAGGAAATACAGGTTCCTGCGTGGAAGAAAGTCTGGATTCCTGAATGGGTCAAAGTTGGTATTCCTGGAGAGAAATACTTAGGAAAAGATCACGAAGGTTGGGAATACACATCTCATGATCTATGGAAAAAGAAATTGGTCTGGAAACCGATTTGGAAGAAGTACTGGAAACCGGCTAAAAAGCAAATCTGGATTCCAGACAAGAAACTGGTGTGGAAGGACGAGTGGAAGCAAATTTGGAAGACTGAGAAGAAACAGATATGGGTTGATGACAAAAAGTTAGTCTGGAAGGAGGCTTGGCAACAAATTTGGAAGCCATCAAAGAAATTGATCTGGGTACCTGACAAGAAACTTGAATGGAAGGAGGCCTGGAAACAGATCTGGGTACCTGGTTGGAAAGAGATTTGGGTTCCAGGTGTGAAGAAAATCTGGAGACCCGTATGGATATCTGAATGGTTCCCCTCCCCGGACCACCATGAACATCATCACGAATCCCACGGCTGGGACAGGAGTGACATCACTGACAACAATACAGCAGGCAGCCAAAAGACGTTATCCGTACAACCAGCTCCGCAGCAGCAGGGCGCACAGAAGCAAGCACAGCCGCAACAAAAAGAAGCACCAAAGCAAACAATCAAGTCATGGTTGTTCCCTGAGTAAATTATAACTTAATTGACAAAATTGAACGCTTTTTATGTAGACTTTTTGTTATAGATCCGAAAATCGGATGTATTATGTGCTTGTGTATAAAGCGTTACAATGCCATATAAATGTGAAGACTGTAAACACATGCCACAGGCGTCGCGATGGATAGCGAACCAGGGGAGCGAGGAAACAATCACATCATGGCTTCTCACTTAGGTAACACCATTTGTTTAACATTATGACCATTGCCATGCGAAAACTGTGAGTCAGCGATGCGATTGTTTCTTGGCCCGTGAATACAAATTCTCACAATTAAAGTTCACAGTAGAGTTCAAATGTTTTGAATACGTTATTTATAGTGTCTAAGCTTTAAAAGTGTTTGTGTAATGTTGTCGTAGATTGTAGGGATACCGAGAGCTTGTTGTCTGTACGTACCCACTGATGCTATGTGTTTTGTTGTTGATTAGTTTATTACTTTAAGATTTTATTTGTAGGTCTTTAGATATAATTTTGCGGAACCAATGAAATAAATGTTATGTCATATTAAAGTTAAGTTTGGTTTTAATTATGGCGCTGTTTATGTAGGTAGTGTAATATCTGAGTTAAATAACCTTATAATTGAGTCTCAAAGCTAGTATCACAACAATATTCCAACAATAATCTAGTTCCGCGTAACCTAATTATGATCTCGTGTAACAAAGTATCGCTCGCGGCCTCCAATGTCGCGTTTAATATAATTTGTTTGGAAAATATTTAATACACAATAACCTGAATAGCTTTTTAAATCTAAATACGACACAAAATACATAAAGTACATATTTTGATAACCGATTTAAAAGTAGGAATCCTCGAATCTTAGCTCTTAGGTCTTAGCTGGTCCCATGGCCGCCTGACCAATAAAAATCAAACATAATAGCCTCTGACTGGATAACCGGCTGCTGCGCAATGTACCGCGAGTTCGAATCCCGCGCTAAGTTATGTGTTGTCGTGTCAACTTTTATTGACTGCACGGTTGGTGCGGTGGCTGGGCAACTAGCTGCCGTGGCTGCCGTGCAACGTGTCGCGGGTTCGATACCCGCACGGAGTAACTCTTTGTGTAATTTACAAATTGTTGTTCCGGTTCTGGGTGTGATTTGTTTGTTTGTTACCGCACCCACGACACAAGAGAATATGTACTAGTAGGGCAACGTACTTTTATAAAAAAAACTTATCATGATTCAGGACATAATACATGGGCGGATTTCGTTTAAAATAATCTCTTTGTTCAACTCAGAATACAGAGTTTGTTCTGTATTCTGAGTTGTTCAAGTATTTGCATCTGCTAATTATCATCTCATACAGTTGAAATGTTGAGGACAAAAAGAAGGTACACACTCAAATTGGTAAGTATTTGGAAGAAAAATATGATGATGATGATGATTCTTCTCCCAGTTGTATAGTCTCTTTTGTGTAAGTCATTCTGTATCCTGCATTACAAGTGTGAGGGAACCATGCTTCGTCATCAACGGGTCGGCTCGGCTAATCCCTTCCCCTGCCCAAAACCCTAAATCTCCAAATCTCTAATCCCCAAAAGGTCGGCTACGCACTCGTAACTCCTCAGTTGTTGCGAGTGTTCATGGGCGGCGCTGATTGATTGCTTACCATCAGGTAATCTGTCTGCTCATTTGCCATCCTAAGTTAGATGTGGTTGTTGATGTAGACAGATAAGAGAAAAAAATACAGAGGGAATTGAAAAGTGTATCATTTTCACCTCAAATAAATAAATGAAAATATAAAAAATCTGTTTATTTCAATTAAAATACAGTTTTTCTTCAATAGTACCTATATAAAGTTTTTATGTTCAAATATTTTGAACACACAAAAAACAAATTAAATAATATATCAAATTTATTTCGTTGCAAGATTCATGTCCCTGGGAAGCGCCGGACTTCATTGTTACGGTGGCGTCATGGTTGTATGTTCTGTATATCCTGGCTTACAGGAGTTGCGGTGGCATAAGAATGTTGGAGAGGACATGTACCATTAAAAAACCGCTGATGTTGTTGACGATGAAAGAGAATTGTTTCAAAATTATCCGACACATGTTTCGCCGTGTGAGTGAGGTTACCGAAGGCCCAATCCTTCCCTTCCCCCAATCCCTCCTCAATCCCTGAGTCTCCAAATCCCGTATCCCTAAAAGATCGGCAACGCACTCGTAACTCCTCCATTGCGGATGTCCATGGGCGGCGCTGATTGCTTACCATCAGGTAATCCGTCTGCTCGTTTGCCGAACTATTACATAAAAAAGTATATATAGTTAAGTACATTTAGTCATCGTATGGAAGATAAGTTAGAATTATCATATTTTTCATATATCAATTGAGTCATTTAAACTATGTAGTTCTAAAATTCGTAGCAAAACAGTTAGTTTGAAAATTCTTCTGATATATAAAGTAGGACGTTACGGTGGGATTTTCAAAGAAAGGAATCGCTTCTTTTCTTCATAGTGCATTGCAGGGAAGGCCTTAAAAACATTATGAGTTTTCCTGGGTTTTTTGTGTTTTGGGAAAGGCTTATGATCACATGGTAGGTTGCAGATGAACATCAATAAATGTTTATACAAACATTTATTGCTTTTTTTTCATATAAAAAGTCTAACAATATAAAGTTTGGATGTCATAGCGGGAGGTGTATGTTCAGCAGACGTTCACAACTGAATATATCTACGCTTCTTAAATGACATGCCTGATGATGACAATTACGGCAAAAATTGCAAATATTAAAAAAAAAATATTCAACCGTCTTTTATACTATATATATAGTAAGCCATTAAATAATGTAAGGATTTCCAAACTCAATTGTCCTTTTTGGAACGTCTGGCTATTTCTGTCGATACGAAAGTAAGGTAAACCTATTCAATAAACGCGACATAGTAGAACTACTTCCATTGCTGTCCTGGTCATCGGTTGAAGAGATAGGGTGCTAAAGACCGATCGAGAAAACTCAGTACTCATCACTACCTATTACTTATCGCGTGTTCTTAATTCTGGTACTTATTGCAACTTTAATCAGAGACCTGACCTCGTTAACTACTGATTGGCTTCTTTGACGCAGTAGCCGAGCGATTAGTTGCTGTGCAACGTGTCACGGGTTAGGTTCCCGCCCGGAACAACACTTTGTTTTACCTGTAAGTGGTTGTTTCGGGTCTGGGTGACTTTCTGTGTATGTGAGTTTGTATATTTGTAAACACCTTTACGACATAGGATACAATAAATCAGGTGGAATTAGTAAACATTTTGTAATTGAGAAATGATAACAATACCTGCTTACTCTAGACGACGAAACCAGTTAAATTAGGACTGGTTCTTTCATTAATGAGACATTTCGCTGACTGCTGCTTTCGCGGGTTCGATCCCCGAACAAGATACATCTACGTGGTATACCTAAATAGAATTGGACTAAACCTACGTCTTACGTTTACGTTTAGAGGTTAACCACATAAACACAAGAGTAACAAAGGCAACGGCTTATAACAATTTAGGGATTAATAAGGTACACGTGGTTGAGTAAATGCCTGTTACTTTAATGGGCATGTAAGACAATCACTGAACCGTTATGCTTAAATTACTTAGCTTCATCAAAAGCTGGCTACTGGCTTAAGTAGTGTGGTTATTGGTTAATGGCCATTGATAAATCCATCGATGGATAATCCATCTATGCATTTGCTTACTAATAAGAGATATTCGCATGGGTTCGTGCTTCGGCACGCATGAGCCGATACGACCTGACCAATACTACAGCCTAACAGAAAACCATCGTGACGTGAAGCAATGGTTGAATTAATAGTTTATTTGGCTGTGTGAGTGAGGTTACTGAAGAAACAGTGGAAAGTATTGGTCTCCCAATCACTCCCAATCACTAAATTCCCAGAAGATACTGTTATACATATAGTAAATCATCTGATGTTGCGGGGGGCGGCGCTTGCTTAATATGAGGGAAAAGGGAAAATTTGCATTTCCTTGAGTTTATGTCACAATTATAGTATTTCTAGTAAGTACCTATTATTTGTATCTTACTACACAAATTCACGATCGACAAGGACGGATCAAAAGTTATGGAGCTTGAGAAAACTTTTTTCGAAATAACTGAGATTCAGAAAACTAACCCTTCTAACGCATAACGACCTCACAGAAAAATGATTAGACTTGAGTTTTTGGAACTGCTAACAATAACAACTTGTTTTTCTCTCCGGATAGTCCTCGTGACGAGCTGGAGTGAACACTGATGAAGAACAAGCCCTCCTACCTCATTCTTGCCTTAATTGGTTGGCTTGAGTGGAGATTCGCAAGAGTAGGAGTTGAAGGAGATTCGGGGGAAGGATGTGTCTCAGTAAGGTGCTGGTAGGGGTCTTGACCGTACTTCCGGGATTGCTCTGATAGCCGTGGGATGCCTCTCCTTCCCCAAGCAGCTTAACGTATGTTGCCTCCGTGTCGCTACATGCTAGCGGCCGTTTCCGAGGGCCCATTAATTGAGTTTGCCAGTCACCCCCTGCCTGTTTACCCGTATGTATTAATATTGGTCAGGGGCAGGGGCCATAGTATTTCCATAGTTTTCATCCACTAGTCCATAGCAACCCATACCCATAACCCTTCCAATTATTACCACATTTCGCAATAGTCCTGCAATAACCGGGGATTATCTTAGGGTGCACTTTCATAGTGCATACAGGGATAATTGACGGCTGATGTCCCATTTCACTTAAATTAAAGATGTTCAACGGGCCTCTGCGAGTTGGCTTCGGCCCCTCGTACGCCTTCCAAAGGATCCTGTGCTCCCGTGAACGGAAACAACAACAATAATTGCCAGGCAGATGGGCGTTACAAGATGTTATATCAACCTTCCTTCCTGTCTAGTTTCAAAGGCCAGTCTTCAAAAGGTTCCTCAAGCAAATGAAGTCTGATTCATGATCAGCACTTAAAAAAGGTTCCCATACAAAGGCTTTTGTTTCATAATTTCCACCTTCGTATTACCTTCGCACACAATTCATTCATAAAGTTATTACATCTTATCTTCAGTATAAAGGTCAGATAAACTAATGACTGAAAATTTATACAATAAAACGCACTTCTGTCATTAAATAAACAAAGCCACTATTGTGTTTTTGCAGGTTAATTGCTTCTGTGTTCTGAAATGAGATTGTGCGAAATATTACGTGTCGTCGTGGCCCGGAGGTTAAGGCTCTCGCTTCTCATGTATGAGGGTGATATTTCGAAACCTGGCAAGTACCAATGTGACTTTTTCTAAGTAATCATAAGACACCGAACTCTTTATAAGTTTTATGTAATTTCTTAGTATGGTTAGACAACACTGACAAACGGTGAAGCAAAACATTGTAAGAATACCGGGAGTTATAATTTGAGCAATCACGCCACCAATCCGCCTTGAGCAAGCTTGGTGATGGATGCTCCAACTGTCTGTGAGTAAAAGGCAAAGCTTAGTTGTAGGCACTTATAGGCTGATAATGATAACGATGATACCTACCAATGTGGTATGATCAAGTAGAGACTTAAACATCATCATCGTCAGTTAGACTTCACTTCAAAAGAGTTTGGACTCGTTAATGAGTGAGCATTTCTGCCCTGCCTCTGTTAAATATGTTACTTGTAATCTAATGTTTTATATGATAAAGGAATTCGACCCATGGGAAGAGTAGAGTTACACATTTGAGTACTCTAGTCTGCCTGCCTTACCACAGGGCGGAGGGTTTTAGGGATTGATTGCGGCAAATAGGCAACGAAATACCTCCTTTACAAGTTCATATTAAAAATAAAAAAGCATAGTTTAAAAACTATAACACGTTTCTTTTTAATCACAATTGTTATCGTTTACGATGTCAGATGAAACGGACCTAATAAGGAAAAATCACAAACTCAATAATAAATACATTGAGGTTCCTTGCCGTGGGTTCCATCATCAGCTCAGCTCAATGGCACAGTAATATCTTATCTAGAAACAATGGCAAAGTTTCATGATGATACAACCATTAGAATTCCAATAAAATAAAATAAAAATATTCCATAGCATTTCGTTACTTTAGTAAAAACTACGAAACAATGTCAGAGGTATTTTTGAGAATTTCACGATAGCAGAAACAACTAAAAAACAATATTCGGTTTGCTTGTTCACAGGAACTTAAACTCCTTATTTGCTCTGAAAGCACGGCCGATTGCATACATTAATTCAATGGCTCATTCAGCCATCATAAACCGAAATATTATTTCAATTAGCTGAGGTTCGAGTGAACCTAGTTTCGTACCGCATATACCTATATACATAAATATATGACTAAACGTATATACCTATATTATCAGTACCGAAATCCGAAGAAAATTTAATCAATGTAATTGGCTTGTTAACAGTCTTTGTTGTAACACATGTTTTAAATGTACCTACATATGTTTATTATTTCAATGAAAATTTATTGTAAATAAAATCAACTGATTGCATGCGAAATTAATTGTCGCAATTATTTTGATAGAGCCTGCGTATTTGTGAAACAATTAAGCGCGCATAATAAGTACCTATCACATTTTAATGATCCACCGAAACTTTATTTATTTGGGTCACTGAACCGATTATTTTTTACGTGATACCACAACCAGCCTAGTTAGAATGTGACACCACTTTAACGATCCAGCTAGGGCGGGAAGACAAGTGATGATTTTCCACCATTTAAAATACCCTTTTTTATTTTATGTGATAGTTCGGCGAGCGGGCCTACGGATAACCTGTTTGTAAGCAATCAGCGCCGACAACGGAGCAGTTACGCCCGCAACAACGGAGGAGTTACGAATGCGTTGCCAATCTTTTGGGGATGAAGGTTTTAGAGAAAGATTTTGCCTTTGGTGACCTCACGCCATAGAGGATAAAACCACTAGTGGTTATATCGTCATTATAACGCACACGACGAAACACAACGCTGTGGTTGTTTCACGTCGGTTTTCTGTGAGGATGTGGTATCACTCCGGTCGAGCCGACCCATTCGTGCCGAAGCATTGCTCCCACAATTGCATTTACCAACACGTAAGTATGATTCAAGAATCTGTTTCCTTTGAGAAGCGAATCTACGACACGTTGCGTATTGCTCGTTCGCCCAGCCACAACGCCAACTATGCAGTTGAACAAAATAATCTTAAGCATCTAAGTATATAATATAAATTTATTAAAATTTTAAATAAAAAATATATTATAATGGTGAAATTAAAATTTTACAATCAATTATTATTAAGACGAAATTAAATATATTACTCGAAACCCTCGCAGTTCAAGGTAAAGCCTCCTACAATGCAATCAATATTTTATTTGACGCCCGCAAATGCACGAACCAAATCTCATAAAATTTGTATTCATATTGTGTCCAATCGATAGTATCGGAAACATGTAGCCACATAAAGTATATAAGTATGTATAGATGGATATATCTATACATATATAACTAATGTCGAGAAAGTGCAATATCAAGTTTAAATAGCATGCCTGAGGGCACTACAAGATTTTAAAGTTTCTAATTGTATAACATACATGTCATATTATGTATATAAAAATAAGGTAGGTATAAACTAAAATTACCATAAATGTAAGTATCTAAGCTTCTGACGTAACCCTTTCAAGTACCTACATAATGTTTGCAATTTACTTGAAATAAGGAAATAATAATCATGTAGGTACTTAAGCATACATAACTACTGACGTAACCATTGCCAAATTATTATAAACTTAAAATTTATAATATTCGTAAATTTCGTTTTATAAATGAAAATGGACCTAATATTTAAATGTCTCGAAAAATCAACTCTTAAAAAAATTTCACTTGCATACATCTATCTATACTATAATACCTATTATAAAGAGGTAACATTTTGTAAGTTTGTAAGCTTGTATGTTTGTAAATTTGTATGTAACCTTTGGAACCACTGGTCGGATTTCCAAAATTCACTTATTGATGGCTACAATGTTCCCGAGTGCTATAGGCCCTAAACATCACGCTACAATCAAATGGAGCTGAGCAGCGAGTGAAACCGCGCGGGAGTAGCTAGTAAGTAGCCTATAAGTGCCAACTACTGAGCAAAGGCCTTTTCACACACGGAGAAGGTTTGGGAATTAATCGCCATTCTTGCTCAAGGTGGATTGGCGATTGACATCATTGGCACCACGACTTTAAAAATATTTTATCACGACCTTATAATAATACCTATGTATAATTTATTAAAAAAAAATTCTGTTCAAAATAAAGGTTTTAGTTATTACTTTCACGTTCATGAAGGTCTGTGAGTAATTTCACTTGCTCTTTAGGAAACCTAGATAACGAGTTGCTAACACTGATATAAAAATTACTAGAAATTCTAGGATTTTATTTTTGTTCCCTAACTGACCTAAAAGTTGGTCTGCCACTATCTCTCGGCTTGCGCAGTTTAGTGGTATTCTGCAACATAGATCATGAGTTTCATCATCAGTCTTTAAGTGCCCATGCTGAGCAAAGGCCTCTTCTGAAATGGAGAAGATTTGAGCATTAATCACCACGCTTGCTCAGTCAGTCAGTCAGACACCAGTATAGTTAAATTCAGTATTCCTCACGATATTTTTCTTCACCGTATAACCACCGTATACTAGTGGTGTCCAAATAATCATAGAAAGTACATAAAACATGGAAAAAGTCACATTGGGGCTTGCCAGGTTTCGAACCCGCACCCTCATGCATCAGAAGCAGCAGCAGAGCGCCTTATCCTCCAGCCCACCGCGACACGGCCACACGAGCATGAGTTAACAATAAGGGCTATTTCACAATAAAGGACTAATTAAAATTAAAATGCTTTGACACTGAGGTACAGACGTACCGTTAGCCTACTAATTAGGATTTGTATTTTGATAATGTTAATAAGTGTAATCCCTCATCGAGTAGATAAAAAAGAACATATGCACTATCTAGTTATACGTATACCTTGTACCTACGTAAAATTTGTAAACCGGTCAACGTCACTACTGACTACGGAACTGAAATTTCTCACAATTTCTGTTCTCTAAGAACTCTTCAACTACACTGGAGTTAAGTAGACGCTGTCATGTAAAATTGTTAGCATGCTTATGCGGCTGACTTCACCAGTTGTTAATCTCAACAAAGAAAATAAACGTTGAAAATATTTACTTCACAAAGGCTAGATGAAATGCGGGAACTTTTTCATTAGGTATTCTTAATAGTAGAAGAACGAGAGCCGAGTCGAGAGTCTGACTTCGGTACAAACATTCATGCTTCAATTATGAAGATTTTGAAGCAGATGGCAGGGCATTCACTCTGGGCGAGTTTTCATTGCAATTTAGTTTAGTACCTACCTACTGGATATTTCGTAGAATAATAAAACTATTGCATTTTTGTCAAAAAGCGGCATGGCATTTGACTGCACGCTTGCCACACAGGCTATCCTCAAAATTGTTCGAGGTGTTATGTGTATGTGAAATTGTATGTTTACAAACGCACCTACGATACGACACGTCCAAAAATTCTAGTGTGCCTATAATAGTGTCATTTATAATGAGTTATTTTAGCTCCAGTTCTAAATATTATTTAATCTACGCAGAGCGAATGACGTAGCTAATGCGCGTCCTTTGGATAAAGGAACGTTTAATACCAGCTATACTTACTTGAATTATTTTTCTTTTAAGGAGCTCTCTTGTAGCAAAACAAATTAGGTAATTAATATTAAAAATAAAGCTTAAAAATATTATTTTTTCAGTAAAATGCGTACCTACCTTTTTGTAATACGCTATCTGCAGTAAAGTTTTAATTGTGATTTTCATTCAGGACCTGATCGTGACTTACTAGAGAATAACCTTGTATTTCTAACTAAGGGAATCCGCCCGCAAAGCCACTGGTAGAAGTCTAGTCATTTAATATTAAGTATAATTATAACCTTGTAGCATCGACGCGAAGCCTAGAAGACGTCAATGCCTTGTAGGTACCGACAACTAGAAATTATATCTATAATTGGTTTCCCCTTTAACTTAATACCTATTTTCCTTGAATAATGTCGACTTCCGACGTTATTAAAACAATTGTACAACGTAATTTATTGATTTTCATGAAATATCTGTTAATTGTATATCTTTATAATACTTAGATATGGTTTTTCATACTTTGTTCGAAGGTTGCAAGGCAGAGAAGAATGAAAGGTCTTTTATTCAGAAGGGTGATGATAGAATGATATCTATACTACCTAATATTATAAAGAGGTAAAATTTGTTAGTTTCTATGTAGGGGGTAATCTTTGGAACCGCTGGTCGGATTGCCAAAATTCTTTCACTGATAGATAGCTACTATTTTTTTTTTTTTTTTTTATTGTAATAGGTCGGCAAACGAGCAGACGGATTACCTGATGGTAAGCAATCAGCGCCGCCCATGGACACCCGCAACGGAGGACTTACAAGTGCGTTGCCGACCTTTTAAGGATTAGGGATTGTGGGGGGAATGGGGGCGGGGAAAAATTGGGCCTCCGGTAACCTCACTCACACGGCGAAACACAACGCTGTGGTTGTTTCACGCCGGTCTTCTGTGAGGCCGTGGTATCACTCCGGTCGAGCCGGCCCATTCGTGCCGAAGCATGTTCCGGATGCTATAGGCTATAAAACACGCTACAATCAAATGGAGCAGCGGGTGAAACCGCGCGAGAGTAGCTAGTCTTATATATATCTTAGCGGGGCTAGAGGGAGTGACAGACTGTTTAAAAACCAACCCGTTCCGAGACCACGGTACACTATTGCGTTTGATCTGCAATCGCGGCTGCACACCATTCATGTTGGGCCCCATCTATGGTTGCAATCGCGGCTGCAAACCATTCATGTTGGGCCCCATCTATGGTTGCAATCGCGGCTGCACACCATTCATGTTGGGCCCTATCTATGGTTGCAATCGCGGCTGGACACCAGTCATGTTGGGCCCCATCTATGGTTGCAATCGCGGCTGCACACCAGTCATGTTGGGCCCCATCTATGGTTGCAATCGCGGCTGGACACCATTCATGTTGGGCCCCATCTATGGTTGCAATCGCGGCTGCACACCAGTCATGTTGGGCCCCATCTATGGTTGCAATCGCGGCTGCACACCATTCATGTTGGGCCCCATCTATGGTTGCAATCGCGGCTGCACACCATTCATGTTGGGCCCCATCTATGGTTGCAATCGCGGCTGCACACCAGTCATGTTGGGCCCCATCTATGGTTGCAATCGCGGCTGGACACCAGTCATGTTGGGCCCCATCTATGGTTACAATCGCGGCTGCACACCAGCCATCTTTGGCCTCATCTATGGTGGTGTAGTGGCTCATTGGGCGAGCGAAACGCTACGTAAGTACGTCAGAGTACAGTCTCAGGCTAACGTAAAATATTATTGTTTGAATTTTATTATTAATTTAACAAAGGTCTGTTATTTCTACTTTCACATTATAGGTATATTGTTCGTTCAATATTTACATCCAATCCTAAATCATTTAGCACTAAATAAATGCTATTAGAATGACTAAAACAGTCTCATAGACATAAGATTATCACTTTTAGATGTTGTCTCTGGTAAGTTAATATTTAAATTAGGTACTCCACTTACTTTCCTTGTAATTAAACACACACTGTCCAATTACTGGTATTAGCGAATAAATACTTTACAACAACGTGATCGCAAAATTGCAATATTATTTCAGTAACTCATGCGTGCCAGCATCTGGTATGAACTGTACAGCCTAATGCCTGAAAACCTATTGTGTTGCTGTCATGTGTCAACGGAAAACTAGAATCCATTCGAATTGCCATTTAAGCACAATGAAAATATATTGTTTTCATTACCCGTTTAAACTTTTCAGTTAATTTATTTACTATACCCAACATTTATTGATTGTTACGTTTTGATAGTTTTCATAGAAGTTAGAGTGCGCAAACCTGACGAATATTTTATTGTTTGCGAATAATGAAAAAAATAAAATAAAAAAATAATAATAAAAGTTTTAGTTTTATTTTATTTCATGTCAGCAGTATAGTCGATCTACGGCGGCAACCTCAAAACTGTTGTTATTTTAGTTTCTATTTAAATAACTTAGCCAAGATAACTCGCCGCCCGACCAGAACTAAGTATACCTGAACGTACGGCGCGTACTTTCCGCGCGAATCAATGACCAATGAAATCACCACAGATAAGGACCAGTAGGGCAAATCTTCAGCCAGGGTTGCGGGTAGCTCAATACATTTCAGTTCACTAATCAAAAATAAACAAGTTTGAAACCGTTCTATTGAAACTTCTACTTAACCAAGGTATATACCAAGAGATACCTGTACCTTTGCGTCGTTCCGGCTTGAGATCATTAGACCCAACATCCTGAAACTATTTCTGAAACTATTTTACTCTTCTATCTTACAGCAAAAATAAAACTAAAGTCACTTAAGTTTTTCATAGGTAGATTTTCTTATCGGTTTTCTATTTAAGTAAAGATATAGTTTTTTTTTTACAAAGAGAAAAGAAAACTTAATTATCCGGTCCCGGGATAGCTACTCTACTCAAAGGATCACATTTTTTTTTATTGCACTTACCTACACTCTGAGAATACCGTGCGAAGATTAAAATTTAATTTACCTATGTTCTATTTTCATACTCAATCTTACTTTGATTATTTTCATCTTCTTTGGAATTTTATTTGGAATTTCAGATAATACTGTTATAGAAAGTAGTCAACCTCGATAAACAATACAAAAATCATCGATGTTCACAGTTTAATGTGAGTTAAAAAGCATTTATTTTACCGATAAAATGATTTATACCTGGTACATATCTACTCAGTTCGTAGAAGCTCTCGTTCTATCTCTCTAAGGTCTAAAATACGTGGAGAAAATTGAGTGCCGTCACAGATGTAAACAACAGCACATCGGATTACCACACTCCGATATTTAGCTTGCTGAATTCACATACTAAACATGTGTACTTACACAACGACATTTAATTCCCAAAGGAGGTCCACTCCAATCGAAATTATTCGTATAGAATCATCATCAAGTTATAAAAGCCCAATGGCCCACAGCTGATCAAAGGCCTCATCTTACACGGAGAAGATTTGAGCATTAATCACCACGCTTTCTCAAGGCGGATTAGCGATTTCAAACAAATTATAAGTCCAGGTTTCCTGACGATGTTTACCTTCACCATATGCCAGTGCGTTCAAATACACTTAGAAACTACATATAACTCGGAAAAAGACACATTGGTTCTTGCCAGGTTTCGAAACTTCATGCATAAGAAGCTAGCGCCTTAACCTCCGGGCCACAACGACAACCCCTATAGAAGAGATAATAGATAAATTAATTGAAAAAGTTTCTGTTTAAAACTCTCTGAATAAAATTTTGATAGTCTAAGACTAACTCCTTACATCACTTATATTTAATATCTAAATAACAAAAATATCATGTTTTAACTGGGCTACATTCGCCTCGTTGGTTTCGACAGATTCTCAGAATTTTTTTTATTGATCCTGTCGAATTAATTTAAAATTCACAGAAATAATAAGTTCTCCGATTCGGGGTGCGGATCAAGCGCAATTATGTACCACAACCCTGGCCTGGAGAAAGAGAAAGGAACGGGGTGCTTTTTAGTCCATAAGAGTCTGCCATCCCTTTCCCTCCAACCAATAGGCGAGAAAAGACAATGGATGATTTTCTCCCCACAACTTCGACACATGCCGTGGGTCGGCAAGCATTAATCCATTATTCCGTTTTAAGACTATAAACTAATAGATAAGTACATTAACCACACTGTGACAAAAATAACCAAATAAGAAAGAGATAAATGTATAAGATCTCGTTAAGCGCCATGGGGGTCACCGGTGACCTCCGTTAGCGGAGGATTTGCCTTCAACAGTTTTCTATCGGCAGTCAAAGGCATATATAATTAATTTTATTTATTATTTTAGACCTGTCTTATTGTAAAACTAACTAATAGATACTTAATACATGCATTTCCATTCTTGTTAATTACCACCTACCGCCCGAGCTTCGCATGTGATATAAGGTATACAAATCTTGTACTGAATGTACATAACGAACACAAGAAAAAAATGAGGAGGGATTGGGGGTGGGGAAAGATTGGGCCTCCCGGTAACCTCACTCACACGACGAAACACAACGCTTGTTTCACGACGGTCTTCTGTGAGGCCGTGGTATCACTCCGGTCGAGCCGACTCATTCGTGCCGAAGCATGGCTCTCCCACACTTAAATACATACTCCTATAATCTCTGTTTTTTATGCGATACGTCGGCAAACAACCAGATATATTACCTGATGTTAAGCAATCGGCGCCGCCCATGGACATCCACAATACCAAAAGTTTTTTTTTTTTTGTAAGGTTAAATTCATCACGTGACTTCTCTCGCCCAGGGTCGGGTGGAAGGGAGTGTCAGACTCTTGCTGACTAAAATCCCCCATTCCTTCTCCTGCTCCGGGCCTAGGCTGCGGTGCCTCATTGCGCTTACCCCGCAAACCCGGCTGAACATCAGCCCTATAGATCCCTGTCTGTGGTGGTCTATTGGCTCACTGAGGTGCGCGCGGAATGCTACGCGCCGTATACTCGGGTCTGGATCTATTCGGGCGGCGCTACCCTTACGCGCTAATGGTGGCCCAATCCCTCCATCTCCAAATCCCTAATCCCTAAAGGGTCGGCAACGCACTCGTAACTCCTCCGTTGCCTCGGTTTACCATCAAGTAATCCGTCTGCTCGTTTGCCGATGAATTACATAAAAAAAGGTCGACATTCATGTAAGCATAATACTTCCCGTTTTTTCTCATATAAATAATTATGCAGGTATTTTTTTGATGTTGTGGAACTTGTGGACATCATTTTAAAGGAAATAAATTGAGTTATCCTACTCGTTTGGGTGTCATTCTTTAAAAATGCATTCTTCTTTATGCTACATTTTAATTTGTAGGTAGGTACTTGAAAAACCACTAATGGTATCTACCTATTCAAAATTGCATAAATCGACGACCCTTACTGTCATATATGCCCGTATAGCGACATGCACATCTGTTGGTTGAATGTAGGTATGTACATGTACCCATTAAATAGGTATAAGAACTAGCTTCGAAAAAGATTTCACGGTAAGGAATTTCTATTACATTTCTAGTACGTTGTAGCATTATCAAAAAATTAAATTAGCTCCTTAATTTCGATAATGGAGGTATTTCGTCTTACACAGGCTCCGCCGGCGGCGAAGTTTTTGCAAAGGCACTTAGAATTTCATCGTGCCGAGTGCATAGTTAATTTCACATTTTCTTTACAGGTTATATGTCGTCAAATATGTTGGTATTTCATTGGCTTTTACATTAGTTTTTACGGAGAAATTTAATTTTAGCCAGATAGTGAAAATAAAACATTTAAAAGAATAGACGTAGCCTTTGTGCCTTTGTTGCCTTTGTTTTTGCGACTGTAAGGTTAATAAAAATGGAGCAGCCTTTGTAAAATGTGTAATAATGTAAAATTTGACAAATAGATATTTATCTAATATCAAACTTCTGGAAACTGATCGGGTATAAATCAGTTGGACAGAACAGTCTAAAGGACATTATAATTCGAAGTAGGTAACCGTTCACAATCGAATCAGTCAGGGTAAACCGAATCATCATCATCATCAGCCTATAAGTGCCCACTGCTGAGCAAAGGCCTCTTCTCACACGGAGAAGGTTTGAGCATTAATCACCACGCTGGCTCAATGCGGGTTGGCGATTTCAAACTTATAATTAGAAATTATAAGTCCAGGTTTCCTCACGATGTTTACCTTCACCGTATGTCAGTGGTGTCTAAATAATCATAGAAAGTATATATAACTCGGAAAAAGTCACATTGGTACTTGCCAGGTTTCGAACCCGCACCCTCATGCGTGAGAAGCGGGGCGCCTTAACCTCCGGGCCACCACGACACAACCGAAAAACGAACGTAAACCGAATAAATAAGTATAAATAAATAAAATAATTATGTAAGCGATACCATATTAGTGTCGCATCGAATGTTGATTCGTTGAACTACATGTTTAATCGTAACAACTTATGATACATTTTTGAACTTAAAGTAATGAGTTTAAGAAACGCACACATGTTTTATGTAACAAAGAAAGTGACCTCTCCGAATGGTCTCACGTAAACTTGCGCACGCACTTAGTTACCTGTTTAGCAAGTGTACCATACTAGGCGGTGTCGTAACCAGCAGTTTATCTTATGTATTAAATCAGTTAGTACCTTCCTTTATTGTCAACTTTCAGTTGTACTGTTCACGATTTTATATACAGCCAAGAATAAGTGTCTATTTTTAGAGCTAGGTGTCGCGATCAATCATAGAACGAACAACATTTTATATCATTGTATACCATTAGTCATTAGTCATTGTATACCTACATCAAATATGAAATGTTAAACATTTTTTATTATTAATCAAACCCCGTAAAAAATATATTCACATAAGTGAACAAATTGAAAGTCCAATTTTAAATTCAATCATAGATTGTTATTTGGTGCATGTTTTCCAGTTAAACCAATTTATGACGCTGAAAAATATTTATGTTTGGAAATGAAACAAATATTTTTTTGCAAAAAAAAATATGTTCATATTATATTATTTCAATACGCATGTGAGAGTTCGTGTGATTGATTCAGTTGAAATGATATTGGTTAACTAGTAACCCTCTCGTGTTTCTATCAATTCGGTATCGGTAACAATGCATATAGCTGCAGGGCCTTTTTATTTGGCTTACTATTTTCATTTCACATTCGGTGATTTTTAGTCCAATATTGAATACGGTAGTGCCGTAAAAATAATACCTCTAATTACTTTTGCTGGCTTATTTTCGGCCAGGAAATCAGCTTTTCCGTCATGTGCTGTTAGTCTTCTGTAAAACGATTTCAAATGTTTTGTTTATTTAACGAGTAGACTGATCATCTGATTTAACTATCGGCACCCTCCACGGATATCTTTGGAGGGGTTTTATCAAAATCATCTTCAGCTGGATGGCATACACTGTTGCTCCCCTTTAGTCCTCCAACACACACAACACACAACTTGACAGATTTGCTCGCTGCGTCTTTGATGCTGTCAGTCATCAGTGTATCTAGCGAGGGACCTGCCTATGTTACATCTTCCAGACCATAGTTTCCACATGAACACTTACCTAACTTAGAACTGTGTAGTTTTAAAAATTATGTACCACTTCAACTTGCAGATTTTAAAAGCTACGACGTTAAACCTCATTCTTGAGAGAAATTCCAGACTCCGGATTTTGTCGCGTAAAGAAATTCCGTTTTATATATCTATATTGGCCACTAGCCGACTGTGATAGCTAAATTCTTAATCGAGTTGAACTTATGTAGCTGGGTAGTAGTCCTAGATTATTCGTGATGATATAGTCGAATTGGCAGACAGAAACCTCCATACCGATTCTCCATAGGTGACCCACCTATGGAGAATCGGTTACGATGAATAGGACAAAACAAAATAATGTTAAATGTTCATATACAACAAGACTAATTAACCTGTAGGTACCGGTCATCGTTGGGAACGATATCTTCGGAGTTATTATACTTATAATCGGCATATCTAATTGTTTCCACATTATTATTATATTTCTTCGTTTTCCTTTTCTTCAATATAAATGTGGTCCCACTTTAGGATTTTATCCTGTGTCGTGGGTGCGTTTACAAACATGCAA